GGCAACACTAAAATTCCTGCCAACCATCCACTTCACTGCCCACCAACACAAGGGCACAAATAAACATCTCCTGCCCATCCACCTAGGGGCAGTCTTTCATTCCATAACCATCCATCAACAATCAAACAATCAGTTATCAATAAATCAAAAGGACTCAACATTGCGCCTAGAGAGGCATCACAATACTCACACGACAGGGGCAACACTAGAATCCCTGTCACCCATCAACTCCTTTGCCCACCATCACAAGGGCACCACCTACCAGCAATCCTCGTCTTCATCAGACGTCCTCCCAAAGAAAAGGGGGAATCACATCATCATCAGCAGGCAGCCTGGAGAGGCTAGGCATAATAATACTCAGCATTTACTCCTTTGCCCATAATCACAAGGGCACCACCTATCAGCAATCCTCGTCTTCATCAGACGTCCTCCCAAAGAAAAGGGGAATCACATCATCATCATCAGCAGGGGGCCTGGAGAGGCCGGCACAATAATACTCACCATCAGTAGGCGGCCTGGAGAGGCCGACATAATAATACTCACAATATTAGCAGATGGCCTGAAGAGGCTACGAAAATACTACGGCCTGAAGAGGTTACGAAAATACTACGGCCTGGAGAGGCTACGAAAATACTACAGCCTGGAGAGGCTACGAAAATACTACGGCCTGGAGAGGCTACAAAAATACTATGGCCTGCAGAGGCTACGAAAATACTACGGCCTGCAGAGGCTACAAAAATACTACGGCCTGCAGAGGTTACGAAAATACTACAACAACAAAGAGAGTTACCTACCTTTAGGATGGGCCGGCTAAAGCCCTAAATATCAGTCCAGCTTGGAAAGGCTGAGCTTAGAATATACTCCCTCTTCAACAAGCAACAAATAAAGGAACATTATCACAAGAGAGACAATGGAGCTTCTACTCGAAGACTGAAGACCAGGTGTACAGTTTGTCAGCCTTGTTACCCAATAGAGTACACAACTACTCTAAAGGGTGAGGATACGAACAAATGCACTTATCTAAGGGAAATAGCGCAGAAGCACCAACACCAAAGAGACGAAGAGAATACCCGGACGAAATGTCTACGTCTTTACTTGCCTGTGGAAAAGCAACACGTTACTATTCCAAACGACAAGTAAAGAGGGGCAGCTGTAGACACCCAATTTCGTCCGGGGGGCATGCAAACAACGGGACAGGACTTTAGAGGACCCAAAAGCCCAAACAAGCTGATTTTAGAAGACCGGAACGGGTTGTTCCAAAATCGGAACGGGGCGTTCCAAGTTTCTAAAAGGGCCTAAAACCCTAAACTGGAATGGGCCGTTCCAAAATCGGAAAGGGCCGTTCCAAATTTGGAACGGGCCGTTCTAAAGTTGGAACAGGTCTTTCCGGGATTTTTAAAGAAGGCTAAAACATACATTTGGAACGGGTCGTTCCCAAATTGGAACGGGCCGTTCCAGAATGGCATTTATGTGTTAAACGCGCCTCTGGAACGGGCCATTCCGAAACGGCCAGATCCAGAACGGGCCGTTCCAATTTCAGAACAAGCCGTTCTGGACCTTGTCTGAAGCCTATAAATAGGCAGCTTGGGCACATTTTTGAGGAGCCCCAAAAAATTTCGTCCAGACTCCTTAGAGGCTCGAAATTTCTCTCTTTTTCTCTCTCTTTCTCTCTTTTGTATTTCTTGAGATTGTGAGGCATTGTAGTGTGAAAGGTTGCCACAAAGCACCTAAATTTCCATATTTGAAGATTAATAGAGCTTGTTCAAGAGGTATTTCAGCTAATTTTCTTCTCTCTCTTTTATTTCTTATTTTTGATAAATATTATTTATAATAAAAGCAATCATGTAGATATTTTAAAGTTAATTGTTTAATTTAAATTTCAAGCATGTAAATATTTACCAATAAAAGGGGATTTAGTATTTATATTATTATTGTTTATAATATTAACTTTGTCATAGGGTACCAATTAAGGGCGTTGTAGGGGTGCTTACCCTACACGTAACCGACCCCCGAACTCAATTCTGGTTATCAAGACCATTATTGAATCTTTAAAACCCTTTTCTTTTTCCAATGTTTTGAGTAAAACATTGGTGGCGACTCCATGAACCTATTTTCAAAAACCATTGATTAAGGATTAGTCTGACGTCCGGGCATTCCTTAATTGATGAGACTTTTAAAAGGATGTCTAAACCATTAGTCGCGAGATCGGAAATTTTCGGGTTGCGACATCCCTCAACTTTATACCTTACTCAAAATAACTAAGGACCTAAAAGAGACTCAACACTCCACTCTAAGAGACAATAAAACTCAAGAAGGGTTTTCAACGATTGGGCTCTCTGAGTACCTCAACACATATCCAGACAATGGGATATTAGAATTTTCTTTAAAACAATATCACTCCTCTAGTTCTAAGTTCACAACACAACTCAACATAGTGTGCCTCAAGCATATCACAACACAACTAAACACAACATGCCTCATGCATTTCACAAGACAGCTCAACACAACATGCCTCTTTCACTTTCTCAACACAGCTCAACATACTTTACAAGTTTATCACACATACTTCATACAACTTACATCAATTCCAAGCAATATACAACTTAATTCTTCATCGTACATCATCATACCTCTTTCAACTTAATTAAAATCCAATATATATATAACCATTCAACTTAACATCATCCATTCCAACTCATTCATCTAACCATGCTTCATCTTCATAAGACATGATTCATTATCATCTTTCATGTATTTTGCAACATCTAGAGCAACTTACATTCACAACTTATCATCATACAACTTCAAACCAATATAAAACTTACTATCAACTTTAAAACAACTTAGATCACCATTATACATCATCATACATTATCATATGTTATAAGAGAATTAACACATATCACTTACAACATGTAATTATCAATTACCATACAACAACTTCTACATAAAACAACATATGTGGAGTTCCATTAATCTTATCATGCTCATCTTTATCTCATATTAAAGCTAAGAAGATTATCTACAACTCTTATGTTGAGTCCTAGACATCATTTTTAGGTGATTCTAAAGTCATTGGAAAGATAACATCCAAAGCTACAACTTTGATGAAGACCACAAAATCTAATTCAATTAATATATGGACTCTCGAGACAATCACGATCATGACAATTTTATCACATTCGTGAACCGCGACAAAATACCTGTTTATTTCCAGAATCAATCTATTCAAATGGAATCAATGACTATTCGTCATAATACTAAAGTGCTTAAGAAGTTCACCCTATTTTTATTAGCTTTATTTCGCATTTTTGTCATATTATTTGTGGTGCTTTGTCTGAGATTTGGTTTTGAAATTAACTGTTGGAATACGTGTGCTCGAGCCCTCTTTTTCGTAGGCTTACGCTTAAGGATTGGTCAGGCCTTTTCAGTAGTTTTTTTGATCATCATTTTAGCTCTTTTTGATCCTTAGACTCTATTTTGCTACTACAAATGTTTTTGACTTCTTGGTAGCAAAGATCATGACCATGACCAATGAGGCATGCTTGTGACAGACTTTGTTCTAACACTTACAACATTTTTCAACCTCAGACAGTGTCAATCACAACTATGACTGCCGAGTCACGCCCATGATAATTCCAGACATGGGGTTATGAGCATATAACCCTCAACAACATTCCAATTGTTTTCAAACCATCCCAAACTCATCTATAAGCCCCAAAATCAAATCAAAATCACCAAACTCACATTCACTCCATCAAAGTGATTCTAAACAACATATGCAACATGGAAATAAGTTTGAATCCAACATGCATCCATTCAACAAGAGAGATCAACAACTTTGGGTTTTGGTTTCATCTCTCGCAAAATCCATAACTTCACAACTGCAATAACTACCATAAAATAACAAATTATGCCACCAATGGTCAAATCAACAACAATTCAACATGCAATAACTTCAAATAATCAAATAACAAGCTTCCCTTACTTCAATTACTCCTAAACCAAAGAAAGGAAGGAAGAGAAACCATGAAACTCTTCGTACGACGACTTCTCTCTAAGATTCTCGGCTCCTTAGTTGGAATCTCAGCTTCTACCACACCAACTCATGATTAGGGGAAGAAACGTGATCTTCCAATGGAATCGAGTCAAATATCAGATTTCCTGGACTCTAAAACACATATCTCTAACTTCTTTCTAAAATTGTGAATTTATGAAGTTTATTTATCAGAATTCTCCTTATATATCTTAATCCTTCTCATACTAACTCTCACACACTTAAAAGTCATATCCTTTATAACTTAAATTTTGAGTTATGTCAACTCTAATTTTCACCGCACATAAGTTAAAAACAATAAAATAACAAAAATATAATTGTTAATTAATTACATATTTCACAAATATACATAATTAAGAAAGAATAATTAAGAAAAAATATGGTGTTAATATATATATATATATATACACATTAATGTAAGCATTTTTTTGGCCTTTTGGCCATAATAAATAATAAATAAATAATTACTAAAATAAGTTAATTAACAAACATTTTACCAAAATAAATTATTTTGGATACGTAGGATTGTAGAGAGTGAAGAAAACACCACATTATATGACGCGTTCAATACATGGATACAAACAATTTGAAAACATCAAACTATTTAACGTTTTGTGCATAAATTTTCAAAACTAAAAATTTTATGCTGGTTGACGTTTTTTTTATGATTTTGCACTATGGCTAGCAAATAAAAAAGGACTGTGGGCAGGTGAAAATCACTTGTAAAAAGTAACCACATATTAGGTAGGAGTAACAAATAATAACAACATGCCACTTCATTCATAATACTCACCTTGTGGAGAGAGAAAATGGCTTATCCAATTTCAACTATTAACATTAGTGGGTATGTCCTGAGAGAAAACCCTGCAAAAAAATGCAAGAAATTGGTTATTATAGAGATTGATTGGAGATTATAGTAAGCATGTGCATGCATGCATGGAAGATGGGTTTGAAAATGAAATTAGTTGAGTGTGTTGTGTACCATTGCCCAATTCTCTCCATGGCAAATGTGAGTCTATTATTGGGAGTAGTGGCCATTGTTTGCGGGTGGTATGGGATGTCCAAAAACTAGCGAGCTAGGCCTAGAGACACTAGTGCAAAAATTGGATTTAAAATCGGAGTTTTAAGATCGGTTACTCTGTAACCGATCTTAAAAGTGATGCGGTGGCAATTTTGTAAATAATATGAATATTTTTAAAATCGGTTAAAATTTAACCGATTTTAAAAGTACTTTTAAAATCGGTTATTTTATGACCGATTTTAAAAGATATGTCTAGCACAACTTTTAAGATCGGTTCAAATATAACCGATTTTAAAAATTATTTTTAAAATCGATCACAATTTAACTGATTTTAAATCATGTCTTTCTTACTACTTTTAAGATCGGTTATATAGGAACCGATTTCGTATGTAACATACAAAATCGGTTCTTAGATAACCGATCTTAAATATCCTTTTCCGTTTCTACAATTTCGGCCTCCACTCTCTGCTTCGTTCGTGCAGGTTCGTTTGTTCGTGCTTAGGGTTCAGGCTTCTTGCTTCATTCGTTCCTACTAGTCTTCTTCGTTCCTTCATTCGTGCTTAAGGTTTCTACTGGTCTTCTTAGTTCAGGTTAGCAAAGAGACAACTCTCTGTTCGGGTATTCAGCTCTCTGTGAACAACATTAGGTGCAGGAACCAAATCGGCGCCAAGTTCTGGGAGATGATATGCAACGAGCACAGCATCAACCACACCGGCAGGTACAGCGGCGACTCCAACCTCTAACTCGACCAGCGGCGGAAGGTACGTCCCATGCGCTGTCCTCATGGATCTGGAGCCCGGCACCATGGACTCCGTCAGATCTGGCCCCTGCGACCAGATCTTCCTCCCTGACAACTTCGTCTTCGGCCAGTCCGGCGCCGACAAAAACTGGGCCAAGGGCCACTACACCGAAGGCGCTGAACTCATCGACTCGGTCCTCGACGTCGTCCGCAAAGAAGCCGAGCATTGCGATTGCTTGCAAGGTACTGATTCATGATCCATTCATTTGCTCCTTCTTCATTCGGTTGTTAATCGGTGATTGCTATTGTTGATGTAGGGTTTCAGGTGTGTCATTCGCTTGGGGGAGGGACTGGCTCCGGCATGGGGACGCTGCAGATCTCCAAGATTCGACTAAAATTCTACATAATCAGAGGTAAAATATACAAGAAATGTACAAGAAATGGCGAGGATCTGAATTCGAGAAAGCTCCTGTTCATTGCCAGTGCTTTGTTTTCTTGTTAGCATGGATAACTAGCTCTTTGTTCCCTGCAGTCGTGTTGCTTTGTTTAACACTTGGCTCAAGTTATTTTCCCTTTTGTTCTTACATTGTTATTCTTATCATCATTCACGGGCTTAATGAACACAGGTAATCTTGCTTGGTCTACTTTTTTTGTGAAATTGCATTCTTTCTGGGCTTAATAGTTGTTTTTCATTGTGGGACTAGTGTAGTCTGCTTTTTATTTTCCAAGTTTGAATTTGGGGTGATTTGTCTGTTTGTTACAGGTCATGGTGGTAGTGATGGATTACATGGTTATGTTCCTTCTCTTGATCATGTGGTTGCAGACACAGTAAGTAATATATATACTTTCTTCAATTTGTATGAATATAGACTCGTTCGTGGCATATATTTTTGTTGGTGATGGTAGTTCGTGGCATATGGATTACATGGTTATAGTGTGAGCAGGTTATATATTTGACCCTTTTGCACTAGATTTTATATATGAACCATTATAAGTGTGAGCAGGTTATGTTTGACTCATAAGAGAACACATTTTAGTTTTGAATTTTGTTTACTTCGTAGAAATAATTGGCAGTTTATATGTTCCCTATCTTTTGGAAGGAAGCTTCACCATTATGTCCTTTTCATTAAGGTTCTAATGTAACTTTGTATCAGGATGATGATGGTGACAATGCTTTTCATATCAAGTGGTTGAACGCTGTTTATAAGATATTATAACTGCAACAATTTTTTCCAACTATGTTACTCATTTAACTATTATAAGATTCATATTAAATTTTTTTTTTTATTTTAATTGACTTTTAAAATCGGTTGTTACATAACCGATCTTAAAAGTCTTGACTTTTAAGATCAGTTATGATGTTAACCGATCTTAAAAGTCAAGACTTTTAAGATCGGTTATATAACAACCGATTTTAAAAGTCAAGACTTTTAAGATCGGTTATAAATCAACCGATCTTAAAAGTCTACTTTTAAAATCGGTTGATAACCGATCTTAAAAGTCTACCTTTTCAAAATCGGCTCTTTTAAGATCGGTTCCATAACCGATTTTAAAAGTCCAAAATACCGATTTTAAAAGCCTTTTTTCCACTAGTGAGAATGGAATTGATGAGATTGGGATAAAGAATGGGTGTCACCGTGGAGGTCATTATAAAGAATGGGTTACTTTTTACATGTAATTTTTACTTGTGCAATGTCTTTTTTTATCCGCTAATCATAATGCAAACTCATTAAAAAAAAACGTCAATTAGCATGATGTTTTTAATTTAAAATCATCAAATGATTTGACGCATTCATATATTGAACGTGTCTTATACTGTGATGTTTTTTATACTCTCTATAATCTTATATGTCCAAAATAATTTATTTTAATAAAATATTTTTAAATTAATTTATTTCAGTAATTTTAATTTTTTTTATTTATTATGGCCAATTGCCCATTTTTTTTCCTCGTTCGGTGACTGAATACGCCAATAATTCAAGGAGGGTACTATTCATAAAGTGATGAATAGATTATGAAAAATGATAAATCCTCCAAAAATCTGTTCGAATATATAAAATAATAATTTAAATTATAAAATATTAAATTAAATAATTATTTTATAACAAATTTATTAAAAAAGGATATAGCAATCCTCTATACGTAAACAGAGATGGTGTGCCATGTCAAGCTCTTAGCAAGTAAAAAGATGATTTCTGAACAACGGACTCGCTGAATTTTCACCTAACTTGACAAGAAAGGTCGAGGCCACTCTTTAGCGCTATTTAAAAGTCTAACTGCTCTAGCACTAGGCCTGAGCAAGGGGCGGGTACGGACGGGTTCGGGTAAAAAATATTCAGCCCAATCTAAACCGACCCAAAAAAAATTAACCCATTTTCGACCGTATAAGTGTTTCGGATTTGTCGGGTTCGGATTTATCGGGTATCGGGTTAATTGGATCGGATTAGTCGGGTTAGGGGATTATGGGGTCTTGTTTTCGTGTCTGTGTCTGACGAACAAAGCAGAAGCGAAGGAGCCTCTTCCAATCTGTTCTAAATCTCATACTGCTCCATTTTCACTTCAACACAACATAGAGAGAAAGGAAATAAGAAAGAGGAAGTAAATGCAAGAGCAGAAAAGGAGCGTTAGGCCACCTTACCTTTCTAGTGTTCCTGTTCTTATTTCAATTCATATCTTTTCAGCTTTTCTTTTTCAGTTTCCCTTCCCATTCTTTTCGTTTCTTCTGCCCCTCTCAAATATCCATTACCCGCATTTTATCTCATGCATCCAATTTAATAGAAGTATAGAATATTAACGCGGGTGGGTTGAGGAATCAGATTTGCCATTACAGAATCCAACAACTCGTAAAACGCTACCTTCCATTTTCAACTATATGCAGAAGGTTTTGCGGGCTTAGGGTTTCAGTTTCTCGCATAAGAAATAACATATCTTTTAATCGTTATCTGTCAGTCAGGTATGGGTACCGACGGATTCAAATATTTTAACCCGAACCCGACCAACAAAACCTATTTCAAACTGAGTGAAGCAACCCGCAAAATCAGAAAATCCAAAAATAACCGACCGAATTAAAAAATTGACCGCGGAAAGTTCCATTTTGGTCGGTTCGAAATGTCTTGCTCACGCCTATCTAGCATTATGTGCCTATGTGCCTATGTGTCTATGCATCTGGTTTCAACCAGTATTCTGTGCAATAAATTAATGCTAGATACACATCTTGTTTCACTCTCTTTTACCATAAATTTCTAAGTAATTTAGATAATCAAGTGTTTATGTATCAGTCAATCTCCACATAATATATATTTAATTTTTTTAATTATTATGAAAAAAATTAACAACACTTAATTACATATGCAAATAAATTAATTAGGGATCATATGGTTTAAGATATCTCCTAATAACTTATTTTTCATTGTACTCGTTGTAACGACCCAGCTGGTCACTACACGAGGCACAGCACACTGGAAACACCAGACAAATAGAACAAGTATATAAATATAGGATCTAGAATATACAAATATACATTGTCCCAATCTGACTAGGGTTAGAGTGTACAACAAAATACATCACCAACTGCTACACCAAGTAGCGGAATAACAAAAAAAAACACAGAACATTCCCAGAGAATCAGCTCCAACTGCCAGCTACCGCCCAACTACCAGTCACCAACCTATCCCTGCTCTGCTCCCATACATAGTATGATCATCGCAGTCCAAACATCAAGGAAACAACGAAGGGTAAGCTAGTGTAATTGAAAATCAACATACTAGTATATAGTAATAAGATAAACAATAGCTACAAATATCAACACACTGGAACAGCTTCTACCACTCAACAAATATCAGCACCACAATGTGGCAATATCAGCACTGCTTAGCAGTAACAACAACACCACTCGAGTGGCTATAACAGCACCGCAAAGCGGCAACAACAGCACCGACTTAGCGGCTATACAACACCACATTTATGGCTAATCACAACACCGTCTTAGCGGCTATAATATCACCCAACTCAACACAACTCAGCACAGCACAGCACTGCACAGCACAACCATTTAACACACTTATTGTTTATCATCAAATCAGTTTAACCTTTTAATTGTTCCGTTATAATATAAAATTCTACATTTTTAATTCATCAATTTCAACTCAATATCACACCTCTACTACAGCTATGTTTATATATATATCTCAGCTTTATCATCAAGTCATCTCAGCATATTCATCAAATACAATTCAGCTCAGCATATAACAACATTAATTAACAAGTCCAGCTCAATCCAACAACTAATAGCATATGCCTTAATACCCCCTTTTGCGCCCGGCGTGCTCGAGGTCGCGCCCAGCACGACTCAACCCGAGAGCACCAGGGGCCATCGCGCCCAGCGCAAGAGTACTCGCTCCCGGCGAGACTCAACCCGAGGGCACCAGAGCTCTCACGCGCCTGGCACAGTTCCAAATTGTGCCCAGCGCCTGCTTGGCAGAGACTCAAGAAGTCTCGTGCGCTCAGCGCGGCCTAACCCGCACCCAGCGTGGGGAAGGTAGAGACCTATCAAGGTCTCGCGCCTCGTGCATTTTACATTGCGCCCAGCGCCCGCCTGGCAGAGACTCCCAAGGAGCCTCCGTGCCCAGCAGGTCCAACCTCGTGCCTAGCGCGACGCCATAGTACCAAAAACAGGTCACCATTAATATCGCGCCCGGCGCAGCCCAAGTCACGCCCGGCACGGGCCAACCAGAGCCTCCCATTTGCAAGCTCGCCTAGCACGCACAACTTTGCACCCAGCAGGCTTGCCTAAACAGAGGCTCCTGGTGGTCACGCGCTCGGCTTACCAATAAAAGGGGATTTAATATTTATATTATTATTGTTTATAATATTAACTTTGTCATAGGGTACCGATTAAGGGTGTTGTAGGAGTGCTTAATACCTTCCCTACATGTAACCGACCGCCGAACTCAATTCTGGTTATCAAGACCATTATTGAATCTTTAAAAACCTTTTCTTTTTCCAATATTTTGAGTAAAACATTGGTGGCGACTCCATGAACCTATTTTCAAACACCATTGATTAAGGATTAGTCTGGCATCCAAGCATTCCTTAATTGATGAGACTTTTAAAAGGATGTCTAAACCATTAGTCGCGAGATCGGAAATTTTCGGGTTGCGACAGATGGCGACTCCACTAGGGACGTTTAAAGAGGATCAAGCCCATTTAATTGATGAAGTTAATAAAATAAAAATAATAATTTAAATATTTTTCCCTTTACTTTGTTTGTTTTATTTGCTTGGCTTTAATATCTATTTGCCTGTTTAAATTTTGTACTTGTTGGAATACAAATTGTACGCAAAACCTTTGCACACAACAGTTCCCCCTACACCCGGGGGCATGAGGGTATTAAACATAGGGAGTGGTTGACGTACGACCGGCCCAAGTTTGGCCTTGGAGCCTGCAAGCCTTGTCGAAAATCACACTCAAGGTGATAACCGGTTACTCTAGCCTGAAATACTACGACAGACCTTAGAGTTTGTCAGGTAACGGCGACAGACATACTGAGTCCCTATAATGGGGGCACCTTGGGGGCCTTAAAGACCAGTGAGATTAGAACCGTCCTATACAACACACTTTTCTTAACAGGGACTACAGACCAAAGATTTGAACACAATCGTTCGTGGGTGTACATTGATTGAGCATGTGTGTGTGCATTTGTTTGTACTATTTCTTCTAATAAGAGTGGATTGGAATTTTAAAATAAGTAAATAGATAATAATAAAATAATAAAAAAAAATTTATACCGCTTCTTACATTCTTAGGTCAGCATTCCATTAACATCATATATGTAGTTTCCTTTTTGTAAAAAAAAATCAATAAAAGAAGTCTCTTATTTACCATGCATCATTACCTTTTAGATAATAGAAACATGATAAAGATTAGGCAAAAAAAAGATGACATGCATTCTAGATTAGCTCATTAATTTCATTCATTTTATTTTATTAGCTAAGGAAGATTAGGTTGTAGCATGTATAGAAAGTTAAGAGAAGTGAATGCTCTAATATACGACAGTACCTGCACTCTAAAGAAAAGCCCAAATCAATTTTAAAAATACTATGGTGGGGCCCTTGCTTTGATATGTTTTTTTTAAGTAAGTCTTCTTAGAATCTAATATAGATTCTCGCTTAATACTGTCAAAATCTATTTGAGCATTCACAGATAAACAAATCAATGAGACTGATATTTATTATTCTCAACTTTCTATACATTCTGCATTACATTCATTTAGTGCATATCCCTCCTTGTAAAAGAATAAATGAGAATAAAAAGGGAAATTAACCTATGTGCGTTAGTCGCCTCTGGAACGGGCCGTTCCGATTTCAGAACGGCCCGTTCCAATACACTAAATTAACATGTAACGGCCAGATCCAGAACGGGCCGTTCCAATTTTGGAACGAGTCGTTCTGGACCCTGTCTGAAGCCTATAAATAGGCAGCTTGGGCACATTTTTGAGGAGCCCCAAAAAATTTCGTCCAGACTCCTTAGAGGCTCAAAATTTCTCTTTTTTTCTCTCTTTTTCTCTCTTTTGTATTTCTTGAGATTTTGTGAGGCATTGTAGTGTGAAAGGTTGCCACAAAGCACCTAAATTTCCATATTTGAAGATTAATAGAGCTTGTTCAAGAGGTATTTCAGCTAATTTTCTTCTCTCTCTTTTATTTCTTATTTTTGATAAATATTATTTATAATAAAAGCAATCATGTAGATATTTTAAAGTTAATTGCTTAATTTAAATTTCAAGCATGTAAATATTTACCAATAAAAGGGGATTTAATATTTATATTATTATTGTTTATAATATTAACTTTGTCATAGGGTACCGATTAAGGGTGTTGTAGGAGTGCTTAATACCTTCCCTACATGTAACCGACCGCCGAACTCAATTCTGGTTATCAAGACCATTATTGAATCTTTAAAAACCTTGGTCGCACCAACTGCTTTTCTAACAAGTCCTCCAACTACCCTTCAGCTCAACCAGCTCAGCAGGAGCCATCCTATAGGGAGCCACCGACACTAGCCCCGCACCTGGAACCAAGTCAATGCTGAACTCCAGCTCCCTAACAGGGGGTAGCCCCGGCACCTCATCAGGAAATACCTCAGCAAAGTCTCTCACCACCTCAATATCAGCTAAGACCCTCTCGGTCTCCACGCTCATAGCAGCAAGCAGAAGACAGCACTCTGCTCCATCTCTCAACAAGGACTCAGCATGGCCAGCTGAGATCAACAGCTCATTCTCCTCCTGAGGGAAAATCAACTTCCTATTGGCACAATCTATAAGAATGCGATTGGCAGACAACCAATCCATCCCTAAGATTATGTCAATATCCACCAAAGGTAAACAAATCAGGTTCACCTTGTATTTCTTCTCATTCACCACAACCGGGCAACCCACACACAATTCTGAAGCAATTACAGAAGCAGAAGCGGGCGTAGACACTAACAGTCTCAACCCTAAATCACACACAGGTACACTCAGCATAGCAGTACATGCATAAGATATAAATGAATGCGTAGCACCAGAGTCAACTGGCATCCAAGCATTCCTTAATTGATGAGACTTTTAAAAGGATGTCTAAACCATTAGTCGCGAGATCGGAAATTTTCGGGTTGCGACAGATGGCGACTCCACTCCGACCGCCGAACTCAATTCTGGTTATCAAGACCATTATTGAATCTTTAAAAACCTTTTCTTTTTCCAATATTTTGAGTAAAACATTGGTGGCGACTCCATGAACCTATTTTCAAACACCATTGATTAAGGATTAGTCTGGCATCCAAGCATTCCTTAATTGATGAGACTTTTAAAAGGATGTCTAAACCATTAGTCGCGAGATCGGAAATTTTCGGGTTGCGACAGATGGCGACTCCACTAGGGACGTTTAAAGAGGATCAAGCCCATTTAATTGATGAAGTTAATAAAATAAAAATAATAATTTAAATATTTTTCCCTTTACTTTGTTTGTTTTATTTGCTTGGCTTTAATATCTATTTGCCTGTTTAAATTTTGTACTTGTTGGAATACAAATTGTACGCAAAACCTTTGCACACAACAGTTCCCCCTACACCCGGGGGCATGAGGGTATTAAACATAGGGAGTGGTTGACGTACGACCGGCCCAAGTTTGGCCTTGGAGCCTGCATGCATAGTGGGAGATGAGTTAACACTTTTAACAGGAGAAGAAGCTTTTCTAGCATCTTTCAAGTAAGACTTCAATAAAGAAACGGGAGAAAATTGTTCGGTAAGATCAAATGCAAAAGCTAAGTTAACAGCATCAATTTGCCGTCCATTGTTCACCAAAACCTCAATTACACCTGCATATCCAAAAATTAAAATGAAGTATTAATACAAACAGAAGCAATAATTCTGTTGCTTCACTCTGTAATTGACACAAATGCTAGAATCAGGCATGAGATTCATGTTAAAAGTCATTCGGGATGCTGCCAAGAAACAAAGGTCTAGAACACTAGGGTTCTGTTTAAAAAGTCAATCACCACTGAATTGTAATTTGTTAAGATCCATACACTCTCTTACCGTAGAATTTATCATATTACATAATTTGCATCATCAGTTTTCAGAGGACATCCTAGCAATAATTTAACAAGAACAAGCAAGCATAAACATCCATATAGACAGGCAAAATATAAAAAAATAATTATTCAATGTAGGTAGAACTTTGAAAAATCCTGTGACTATTGAAAGGAACTCAATAATTAGAAATCATATTAATCACAAAATGAAAACTAAGGAATGAACAAGTTATTGAAATAAAATTAAAATTAAAAGTTTTGCATAGAATAAACAAAAAAAAATTAAAACTTTTCATTCACTTGTATAAAAGTTAGGCCTATATTCAAAATTTCGTGTAGTTCTTGTAAAGTTTAAATTCATGTCAATCATTATAGAGATCGAATACACACCAGGCATCTTTTCTGAAAGCCCAAGGAAACGACATAAATCAGCAGTTTGGCGGCGCCGAGACACCATTGGAATCAATCGGGATAACTCCTCCTCATCAAAACCAGAGGCAATACCAAAACTAGCAACAAGTTGCAAAAATGCATGAGCCTCTAAGGAATTCCCATTGCTAGCATCCATGTCAAGAGCATCCAATCTGGGTTTCCATGCTTCAGCAACTGCCTTTGCCCTGTCCTTGATATCTTCTGAAATTGAATTAGTCACACAAGCTGAGTTGCTCAGGAAATCACATAGACATTCCATCAGCATGATGTAGCACCGACTTAGCGGCTATACAACACCACATTTGTGGCTAATCACAGCACCGTCTTAGCGGCTATAATATCACCCAACTCAGCACAACTCAGCACAGCACAGCACAACACAACACAACCATTCAACACACTTATTGTTTATCATCAAATCAGTTTAACCTTTTAATTGTTCCGCTATAATATAAAATTCTAAATTTTTAATTCATCAATTTCAACTCAATATCACACCTCTACTACAGCTATGTTTATATATATATCTCAGCTTTATCATCAAGTCATCTCGGCATATTCATCAAATACAAATCAGCTCAGCATATAACCACATTAATTAACAAGTCCAACTCAATCCAACAACTAATAGCATATGCCTTAATACCCCCTTTCGCGCCCGGCGTGCTCGAGGTCGCGCCCAGCGCGGCTCAACCCGAGAGCACCAGGGGCCATCGCGCCCAGCGCAAGAGTACTCGCACCTGGCGAGACTCAACCCGAGGGCACTAGAGCTCTCACACGCCTGGCGCAATTCCAAATTGCGCCCAGCGCCTGCTTGGTAGAGACTCAAGAAGTCTCGTGCGCTCAGCGCGGCCTAACCTGCGCCCAGCATGGGGAAGGTAGAGAGCTATCAAGGTCTCGCGCCCGCCGCAATTTACATTGCGCCCAGCGCCCGCCTGGCAGAGACTCCTAAGGAGCCTCCGCGCCCAGCGGGTCCAACCTCGCGCCTAGCGCGGCGCCATAGTACCCAAAACAGGTCACCATTAATATCGCATCCGGCGCAGCCCAAGTCACGCCCAGCGCGGGCTAACCAAAGCCTCCCATTTGCAAGCTCGCCTGGCGCGCACAACTTTGCGCCTAGCGGGCTTGCCTAAACAGAGGCTCCTGGTGGTCACGCGCCCAACGCGAATTCAACAGCAACTCTTTCCAAGTTCGAAAATTTTCCTAAACACCTGCAAAACAGCCAGAAAACTAACATGCAATCCATCCAATAGTCTGCATTTTCATCAAACATCATGAAAAACATCTCCTTTTTAACATGCAACCACAAAACAAGATTTTCCCCTGAAATTTTCCCAAAGACCCCTAAGACCCGAAGAGCCACTAATCATCCATCCCAGCAGATTCTCAGCTCAAACGTAGCAAACATCATACCACAAAAGAGCTCATAGAACTCGTTTCAGCCAAACAAAACAAAAGACTAGCTTCCCTTACCTCGTAAAAGTTTTCGAGCTTTCGGGGAAAGAACAAGACAATGGAGAGAAGGAAGAAAGCTTGAGACGAGAGGAGAAGAAAGACCACTTCAGCTAACTCCGAGACTCCGACTCAGCACCTTCAACCCAAGAGAATCACCACAATGAAAGATTTTAGAGAAAGAGGGAAGAATGGGGTCAAAGAGAGTGAGTGGATGAGGGTTCGGGAAAAAATGAGAAAAGAAAAAGGGGGCCTCACACTCGTTTGAATATATTGTTTTTTCTATATATTAAAATTTATTAGTAATTATAAAATTTGATGAGTGTCACATCTTTATAAATGATTTTCTCTAATTATTATGTAATTTTCAAAAAAAAATTAATTAATGAAAAACGAGTGTTCAAAAGAGTATTATAAGAAGTGTGCTCCTAGTACTCCTGTTTTGTATCATGATGCATTACAATCTTACAAAGATATAATTTGTAAAAATTAATAATAATTTTATATATATATATATATATATATATATAATTATGTTAAACCTCAACATGAGATTGGTTTTTTAATATTTATAAATCCAAAAACTTTTTGATCTTTTTTAAATAGGTCCCCAAACAAAAGAATTTTTAATTGAGTCCTTAAATTTTTTCATTTTTTTAATTAGGTCACCAGAGAAAATAAGCAATATTCGATCCAAGTTAACAATTTGTAAACAAAACATTAATCACATAACCTGATTATAAAAATAAAAAAAAAAAAACAGTTGATTAAAGACGTAATTACAAATTTTTATAGTTTAGAGATTTATTTTAAAAAAATATATATCAAAAAAGTTCAGAAAGCTAGGAATATATTAAACATTTTTTTAAAAATTGAAATGAAGAATCGATTGATGGAAATATAGAAAGATAAATAAAAATTAACTTTTAAGAAATTATTGAAAAAAAAAATAATCAGAATCCTAAGTTAGTGATAACCTCATTCAGAACGGAATGTGAAATTTTAAAAGGTCATTAAAACAATAATAACCAAAAACATTTGAATCAAGATAAAACATCTTGATGGAATAAGAGTGTTCAAGACGAAGGTAATAAAACAAAAGTGTTTGAAAGTCTTAAATGAACGCAATGATGCTAACAATTTGGCAAAGATTCCAAACGTTAAAAGAGAGACAAACTGATTTATATATAATCCAAAGAGTTTTAGTAAGTTTTTGAAACAAAGAGTGAAGAAAGTAAGACAAATAAACTTGTCAAAAAATAGACATAACTGATATTTTATTTGGATTCAACTTCAGAATTACAAAGCGATATCTATTTATAAGCTAGTCAAAGTCTTTTTCTAATTTTTCCACTAGAATTTTAATTCCACTAATATTTCAACTAAATATTAGATTTTCACTAACATTAACTTCTCACTAGTCCACTAACCATCCTAATGATTTAGGAGCCTAAATACACTAAAATTTGTCCTAGAGATGATGAAAGCTCATGTAAACTTACCCTAATGCATGTGTTAGTATTGTATCATGGGCTTATTGGACTTTCCAAATTGTCTTTTAGTTGGTTGAGAATCTCTTCAAGTTGTATAAATGTGTTATTTCTTGAAGTGGACTTTATTTTACAGGAATTTTCTTTAACTTGCACTCCATGACTATACTTTGAAAAGTCTATTTAATTCTTTTAGCTCTTACTCTAATCAATGGATCTTTTATCCATTACAAAAAATGTTTGAATTTATTAAATTTTATAGATTACTATCGAAATCTATCTCAAAATATACATCAAACCTAATTTTTTAAAATTTAAATTCGTTCAAACTACTTCAGATCAGAGATATATATCGAATCTTATTTACTCCTAACTTTTAGATAATCTAACATATATATCTTTTAAAAAATTTATACAATGATAATATTAACGTATTTAAGACAAACTAAGTGACACAAAACATTGTTCATCTTTAGTAAAAAATATAATCTTATACTCTTTTATATATATA